ACGAATGCGTGATGAAGTATGGAGCTGGTATTTGGTGGGATTTCCAAGCATGTTTCAACAGAATACCTCTCGCTGGACTTATCTCGAAAAAGGTGAGCTTCCACAGTCGAATATTCTGCTTAACGGACAAGCTGAACAAAAACTAAACATTCAAACCACACCCAGAAAGGAACAAGGTAGCGTGCGTGAAAAGAGATATGAAAAAACAATGATATAAGCTAGCATTGCCTCTTTTTACGAAAGCGTCATTGTGGCTATGTACCCGACTATCCACAACGGACTCAACTTGACCACAAAAACGAAAATGGAGCGTGCGGCCGCAGAGCGCCTAAATAAGTAGCAACACTGCAAATACGCTGAACTTCAGCCTTCTATGTGTTCATGCCAACACAACAATATTGGCTGCTCGAAGGGCTTCCTTTCCACTTGCGGATTATTTGATGGCGCCGGTAACCTGATTGCGAGGGTGGGGGGCATCACTATGCAGAAGGCCCATATATCCTCATCCTTCTTGTACTTGAGGGGTGGGGGAGGGAGCATTATGCAGAAAGCCCACACATCCACACAGCCTGTCCCTAGTCCTGGAGACTAGAACTAACTGCAAACCTTAGAATGAGTGCGTAATCTCATCGTCCCAATAGGTCCTCCCTCCGTCAGGGCTCATTCCGTATAACTATGCCTCCCTCCTAACTACACCAACCCCCAGTTCCTTTCTCAAGTCATTGTACCCCACTACAGCTTCCTGGATTTGTGCCCGTTAGGCGACTTGAAGGCCGGGGGACTTTGAGGAGCCTGGAGTCTTTGTCAAGATGTGACCGTTAAATGTTGTGCAAAGTGACGAGAGGAGGTGTTGCAGAGCAAAAATTCTCTAACTGCATCGTAGTCTATTCTGTTCAGGTCTTGTGCATGCACGGAGGTCTTTCACCAGAGCTGAACCACCTCGACGTGATTCGAAATATTCCTCGTCCATGCGAACCGCTTGATCGTGGCTTACTCATCGATCTCACATGGGCCGATCCTACTAACAAAGGAGATGGATGGTTCCACTCGATTAGAGGTACGTGACCTGGCAAGCACCGGTTCCTGCCTAATAGAACTTGTGCCCTCAAGGCACCTTCCATGCTTATCGTATGGGCGGAGTCACTTGGAGCAGAGTGTCCTTTTCATTTCGAGGCCCATTAGACAAAAGGCCTCATTAATGAGAGGAATGCACAGCACCACGTGAATCAGCCCGAAGATTGAGTGTGGAAATAAGACTTGAGCAGTCCAGTTTGAGTTCTAGTTTTACCGCTGGATCGTATAATCCATTTCAGGAATCAGCTACATGTTTGGAAAAGGAGTCGTGCAGCAGGCTTGTCAAATGCTCGGCATTGAATTGGTCATTCGGGCTCATCAGGTGAACTTAGGGTTGAAGTAAAGCA